ACCTAGTACTTATACATCTATTCTGGAGAAAAAACAGAAATACTTTCTGAGCCTGTGGAGAATTTTCCCTTATCTACATTTCTATTTTGGTTCTGTAAGGCAAAAATCTTCTAACTGGACAAAACTGAAATTCCAAACTTGCCCTAACATTAAACGGTTGTTTTGCCTTAAACTTGGTAAATAAGTTTCTTGTTGACTTAAAAGCAAGAAATTAGAGTATTCCATCATGTATAGCTTATCTAAAATCAAACTGTTATTTCTGTAAGTGAAAGTAGAAAGTAGAATTCTTTCTGTTCAAAACATTCAATTGGAAATAAATCATGTTGGTGTAAGTGCAGGGGTATAAGATAGGAGAAAACATCAAGACAAGCAAAAAGAATTATGAAATTGGCCTAAGAAAGAACGGGAATTTATGTGAGTGTCCAGCATGTGGAATTGGGTGGGCAGAGCAATCAGTCCTTGGATATTAAGAAGTATACCGTGGAGCACAACTCAGCCATAAAAAAGAATGAATTAATGCCTTCTGCTGCAATTTGGAAGGAATTGGAGTCCATTATTGTAAGTGAAATATCTCTAGAATGGAAAAGCAAACATCACATGCACTCTCTAATAGATTGGAACTAACCAATGGGCACACAAATGCACAGAGGAAAGTAAAAGTCATTGGACATCATCAGGCGGAGGGGGGAAAGAAAGAAGGGAGAGACAAAAACCCAACTAATGTGTATAATGAACACTACTCAAGTGATGAGCAGGTTTATATCCCTGACTCAAGCCATGTAACAAAAACACCTGTACCCCCTTACTATTCTGAAATAAAAAAAAAAAGAAGGAAATTATTTTACCATGTAGGCCGTGCAGGGTGCACTTGGCATGGCTTTTGGGCAAGCACATTGTATGCAGTGCTGGGCTTCATGGTGAAAATACAAATAGGTTTAAGACATAGTCCTGACATTCAAGGAGTTTACTACTCCAAGAGAGAAACAATATACTTGTATCAGAAGGAAGTTGTCAATGAAAGGTCTCAAGTGGTAAGTACTACAGGAACTCAGTAAAGAGTTCAGAAAGATCAGGTGCTCAATGGCAATGATTCTCACACTCTGTTGTGCATCAGGAAAATGTGAAGTTCTTGTTAGAATACAGATTGCTGGCCCCTTCCCTTGAGTTTCTGATCCAGGAGGTGTGAGGGAGTTGCTTGACTTGTACATTTGTAACAAATGTCCCAATGATGCTGATGCTGCTGATCTGAGGACCACACTGGGGGAACCACTGCTCTAGGAAGACTTCAGAGAAGAGAAGGAGAGAGCTAAGTGGAAAGGACAGAAGCATAAATGCAAGAAAAAAGAGATAAGTTTATCTTAAGAAAACTTAAGAAAGATGCACTAATCCACTCCTTCCTTACTCTATTCAATCAGTAATGAAGTTTTAGAGAATCCAACTCTTTAATCGTTGTGCTTATCTAATTTCTGCCTTCT